CATATCGTTAACGGGTACCGTTATTGCGGGTATGGGAGGCATCGGAAGGATCTACTAAATCTCTCAAATAGCAGGCAACGGCTGCAACGACGAAGCTTTGCTCTACATTCGCGAGGAAAATAGTACTTCCCTTGCTTCGCTGAAAAAGCTCAATGCAGAGCATGAAGCATCCGTGAGGAACAATATGACACTCCCATCCAGTGCCTCAGCTCAAACTGTGTTCAGCGTAGCAGTCGACATATTGAGTAAGAGATAATGCAAAATGTCTGACGAGACATATAAGAGCCAGCTGTTGCTCAAAATACTTAAGGTCATTAAAAGGAACAGGTGGCAAGAATAAGAACTTGAATAACCCTCTTCCCTTTGTTTCTTACTTGATAACAATAATGTTAAAAGTAACGCCACGAAAGTAACGGATTACTTTTTCGGGTAACGGTCAATTACTTTCATGGGAGGGTAATTGTAATCGTAATAAATTACAATTTAGCCTTGAGTAATTGTAAATGTAATTCCTTACTATTTTTCAGTAACGTGTACAAGTCTGCCCATGTATACCTCTCCAGAAAAAAAAAATGGAATAAAAAAGTGTGTTCCTTTTTATGGTATTTGCATCTTGCTTTCCAAATTCAAATGACTCCTTTCTCTCACCCCTTCACTCTCTAATTTACACCCCCCCCCCCCCCCCCCCCCCCTCCCCTCCCTCTTCCGCGCCACGCCGCCGCCGATCCGTTGATCCCCACGCCGTCAACACGCCGCCGCCGGAGGTACAAACACCGGCGCGCCGCCGCCGGCGATTTCTGACCGGCGCACAGGTCTAGGCCAGTGTGCAGAAAGCGGATTCGGCCGTTGCTTCGGCGGCATAGTGTATTCTACAGCAAAATCTTTAAATACTATAATCAACTTGGGATTTTATGTAGATTTTATGTCCGACTCCATTTCTGTGGTTTTGTTTTAAATATGTCTTGAACGTTTTGGCGGTTTTGGCATGTGGGTCAAGCTCTAAAGCAAAAGCCGCATTGCGACGACATCACGCAATCGCTGTATGAACTTGGCGCGCGCTGGTCGGCGGTTTAAACTAGTTTAAACTGTTTTAACCTTTTTAGCAGCATTTTGGCTTTGCAGTGGTTTCTTTTTTTCCATATTTGATCCCGAAAGCTTATTCGAAGAACCTGCAAGGCATTGCTCGAATTTAGCGGACCAGGATGCAAGGACCTTCTGAGGATGTCCTCAGGACGCCACGTTGATGACGAATTCCGGATGGCCCGTAGGATTCATCCTGCGGACATTCCATGGACTACTTTCAGCGGACGAGGATGATAGGACCTTTTGAGGATGTCCTCAGGATGTTGTGTGTTGACTGGGTGCATAGAAAAAATAAATATTCGAGGAAAATTATCAACAGGCGCACCGAAATGTGGCTCTGCTAGCACATTTAACATCCTGGCTTGTCTCAAAGCATATTATACAGCTGCAAATCGTATTGCGGTAATTAAGCTCAAATAATTTTCACTCCCAGTGATATATTTTGAGTTTTAATGGCACATTGTGCCTAAGTTGAAAACATAAAATCGTCTGCACCAGAACTCAATGCATCAGAAGGAAAGAAGAAACAGTAAATATTTTATGGTTTCTTGTTTCCTGTTGATTCTTATTTTTACCAACATGCTCCAACAGAAATTTTGAACCTTATGTGTTGTTCTTGACCGTTGTGAGCTGCAGTCGTTTTGTCCTGTGTAGCCATCTTCACAAAAAAAAAAAAAAAAAAAAAAAAAAAAAGTTGACAGCAACGTTTTTGCATTGACACAGCGCGATTTGCAAATACTTACAATAATTTATTTTCAACTTTTGGCGGGCAATTTTCTCGCATCCAAGGAAAGAGAGGCAGAAAGGCGCGTCAGTTCTAATGCGAAAAGGACGGTCGCTTCCCGCAATGCTTGCATCGCTGGAAGATTGGCAGCGACCTCCGCACTTCCCCGTGCCCCGTTATTCAGCAGCGCCATGAGTTGCAGAGTGAAGTTTGCAGCAGTGGGAAAAGCGGGACATTTTCAAGATTTTGGCATTTCTTGCGAGACGCAGGACACAAGCCCTGAATGCGGGACAGTCCCGCGAGTGGCGGGACAGGTGGTCACCCTAATCTCCCTTTAATTTTTTGTTGTAGTCTACAATTACAGTTGTCACCTTTGGAAAGGACTGTTCCCTTATATCCTTTCTTCTTAAAGTAGTCCCCCTTCCCTTCCTCCTTTTATTCTGCGGCTCTCCGAACTTTTGTAGCTTTGACTGCGGCTCTAACCCCATGTCACTTTGGCCTTCACTGGTCTATCGCGTCTTTCCTTCTATCCTACGCTGCTTTCCGAAACGGGGATCCTTTTGTCCTAACGCCGCAGCGCCTGGGGCACAGAACGACACAATTCGTCTGGGGAAGTCAAAAGTTTTGAAGTTTGTTGGTTTGCCCTTTCGCTCGAGCTAGTTGGTACGCTACTGGACTTACGCGATTTATGTGGTGCGGCGTTGTGACTCTAAGGTCCACAGACATGGGAGGGCAAATGCATTGTCATTTAGTTGGCCAGGCAAACAGATAAATCCTAACAGTATTTGCAGTGCAATTAATGAAAATGTATACATGCTTCAAACCTTCTTTCTGCTGCATGAAAATTGACTTTCAGCTGCTCTATAGTTGTGCGAAATAACTTGGACCAATGTATGACTCATATTCAAGCTTATCCAAGAAAGATAAGGAGGGCCAAAATTAATTTGCCTAGGACACCTGGCGACGGATCTAGACATTTCGGTGTAGGGCATTTCGGTGCGCGATCATTTCGGTGCACGGTCATTAATTGTTTTGTTTTTTTCTTAAAGTAATAAGTCCCATTTTATCTCAAAATGATTTTTTTCACACTTTATAAATTTGTAGACTTGCTAGCCAACCGCCCGGTTGGCGTCTGCTAGCCACACTGATCTCTATGTCTATTTGCTGGATCGCGTTTGACCAGCTCCTCCTATGGACCGGAATGCGGTCACTGGCGGCCATCTTTAGGTAGAGTTATATCATCTCTAGCCATCATAGTAATATGGCGGACAGCGCAATGGCGGCAGGCTGCCATAAAATAGCCGTAGATCTAGTACACTGTACCGTGGGTGACATTTCGTGCTTGATTGAAGTTGTTCGACGAAGCAGATTCTTGAAACCCGGCGTGAACGGTAGCCTTATCTTTGAGGACCCGGCAAAAGTTCTACGAAAGCGCAGCACCGGCAGAAAGCAGCGCAGCTCGCATCAAAAGCAGACTCCGTACCGTCGTCTGCTTTCGTGGACTGGACTGGACTGGACTGGACTGGACTGGACTGGAAATGAAGACCGACAACGAAAGATTCTACGAAGCCTACTGGACTTCGTCCATGAGGCCAAAGTAGACTCTTTCATCTAACCTGATTTTTATTAATATGCCAGCACCCAGACCTCGAATTCAGTCACCGGTGCCCTCCCCAATCCCACTCCCTGATTATTTTTTGGCTAATAAATCGCGTTCTAATCTAATCTAAGTCTGCTTTCGATGCTTCTTTCGATGCGACTTTCGATACGTACTGTGCTGCTTTTCTCCCGGTGCTGCGATTTTGTGAAACTTTTACCAGGTCCTCAAAAACCGGACTACTGTTCACGCCGTGTTTCAAAAACATGTTTCGTCAAATAATTTTAATCAAGCACGCAATATCACCCACGCTATTTTGACCACCCCACCTGCCAAAACGCTATCTGCCATGGATGGATGATAGCGGCTGCAGCAGCTTACATTGGCTAGAGGTGATATAACTCTACCTAAAGATGGCCGCCAGTGACCGCATTCGCGGAGCGGGCAAACGCGATCCAGCAATTGTCATAGAGATCAGTGGCTAGCCAACCGGGTGGTTGGCTAGCAGACGCACAAGCGTACGGGCTTTCACCTTTCTGTTTAGCCGAGCAAGCCACCCGAGGTAAAACTTCTTTGCAAATAAAGATTATTATTATTATTATTATTATTATTATAATTATTATATATTTACGACCACTTACCTATATACGACCTAAGCGACTTTGTTAGGCTCAGCACAGTCCTACAGGAAGGCTCGATACATTGGACGTTGTGTTTCGTTTTCCGGTGTCTCTTTTCAAACGTACGCAATAGACGCATCTTATTGTGTTTACGCGCAAGGTCAATACAGGCGTTCTCAGCGCCCTGTCTAAAGGTGTGGGCTTTATTATTGGTAATCTATGTAGGAGAGGCCCCAATAGCAAGAAGCTTAAGATTGTTCAAGATAACTTGAGACATGTGATTAGCGCGTACGTTGGAAAAGAAACCCCGACAAAAACAAACCAGAACGCCCCAAGTCTCCAATCCTCACGTAGGATAGTACTGCGCCTAACAAAGTCACTTTGGTGGGATATCAGTACGTAAAACACTGGGCAAGCGCCCACTCAATATTTAGAGATAATCGCGAAAAAACGGGTGATGGGCGCTTGTCCGGTCATCAATTTTACATATAAATGTACTGTGCATATTTTTTCATATATTAGAAATTTGGATGTAGAACGGGCGGATGCGCGGTATTTTACGGTAAGTGATCGTAAATGGATGATCAAGTCTAAAAAATTATAAAGTGCAAAAAAAATGAATTTCTAGCTAAAATAGTGCTTTTACGTTTAGAGGAAACTAAAAGAAACCCGTAAATTTGATTGGCCGTGCACCGAAAAGTCCGTGCACCGAAATGTCCACGCACCGAAAAGTCAGCACCGAAACGTCCTACGCCGAAACGCCCTACACCATAAAGTCCTAGACCCCCTGGCGATGTAGTAAGCCCGGCCGTGCATCTACAGCCTCCTGCAAGAGCATGTATTGTTTTTCCCAGTTCCTTGAAAAACATATTAATGGGGTTCCATACATGCACAGTAGATGCATCCCTCCCACTGCTACCTGCAAAGTACAAATTCCTTACATGAACCACAAACAAAAAAAGAAACAGACCAAGTGTCGGCTTTTCAGTAATCTTTATCGTGACAAAAGTGTGTATACTATAAGAAGCATACAAAATGTTTTTCCTCTACAAAAACTGAAGGCCACACACAGTATTTGTCTGGCAAGACTTTTCACATTGGGAAATGTGTCGTATAATGATACAAATCTATATAAAAAAAGGTCCATACAGAGCCTTTACACAGAGGTCAGCAGCCACAATGCTGTACCTTTTCATCCGACACCACATCCTGTCAAGGAACGGATGCCCACAACGATCGCACGACAGAGCCACGCCACTGCGCAAGGAAAGCATTTCACAGAGTCGTTCGGAGGTTCTCTGAGCATCTCAGCTTGATCACAACTCCTACTCTTCCCTGCTCTCCTCTTACAGCAACAGCCTACAAAAAAAACAAAAAAAACTGAATCCGTTTAGAAAGAATGTTGCTCAGTCAGAGGCATGCTTTGCCATCAAAGTGCCAAATGTGAAGATGTACCAGTCAACTTCTGCATCTGAAACTGCAAATGCAGTGATCAGTCCTTCCAAGCTTGTGGCATTTCCAGGCTTGGAGTAAGGGCATGATTCAATCTGAGCTGGCAACCTTGTCTAGCCCCCGTTAACATGCATTTCTCTCGATGACGTCTTGCAGTGACCGTGATGACAAAAGGTGCCCCACGCAAGCCTCGGGCGGTTGCTAGAAAGCGTGAGAAGAGGTTGTACTACGGTAATACTCATCAGTGGATCAGCGGAGTAATGTGCATCTGGCCATGTGGATCTTCTTCAATGCAGTAGCACGTTAGGTAATTAAACCTAAGTTGCATCAGCAGCATCTCAGAAAACGAAAAGTATGAAAATCAGGTCCTGTGTTCTGACCAAATCTAGTTACTTCAACAAATAAACAGCTTGGGTGCTGGCAAGTAAACACAGGCACAGCCAAAAGCGTGCCCGTGTTACTTGCTAATGCAGAAATCTCAATGACGAAAAAATATGAAGCACTTAATACAGTCTAAGCTCGTTATAACAAACCTTGAATTTGACCAAGATTTCGTTCTGTTGTAAGAGGAGTATGTTGTATGCAGATATAAAGTTGAGTCAATGATACGTAGAGGAAATCCAACTGAACTTCACAAACTGGTATGTTACATCCAAATGTCTGTTGTAACCAGGTCTGTTGAAATGAGCTTAGACTGTATGTGTGAACATGGCCCACGATCAATGTGAAAGCAAAACCTGTCTCCTTTAGCCCAGTTTTTACTTTGTAAACCCAAACTTCGGGTAAAATATAGACATACAAAATGCGGTGTCCAAATTAATGTTTTCCTATGTGGGGAGCAAGTCGTCTGCTTCTTGCACAGGGGTTGCGGTGACGTCAGAACGACGCAGAGTTCCGATTGGCTTTGATTGGAAGTATAGTGGGTAGACCTCAATGCTAGGTGTCTTGAGGTCTACCCCCTATTTTTTTTCAATCAGCCAATAAGAGCTTGCCATTCCGACATCATCGCAACCCCCTGTGCAAGAGACGAACTTGCAATCCGCATTGACTGCACTTTGCTCAGTCGATCCACCAAAAGTATGCATCTGCCAAAGAAGAATAGACCCATCTACAGAAGTGGGGGGGGGGGGGTTTCAACCTGTCGACTATAGCAACGTTTCCACTCGAATGAAGAACACACATTTCCGCCATGACACCTGACTTCACCCTTTAGTAAACCAAACATTGCTTCTGAACTGCGCCGTTGGACGAACGACGACGTGGCTATACCACACACCTGGCCAACAGCAACAACAACCCTGGGCTCTCTTCCTCTCAAGATACATTCTCCGACCTACAACTCACGTTCACGAACAAACAACAAGCCAGAGCGGGCAGAGTCCGCTGCACCGCCCACACTGAAACGTCGATGGAACAGACACTTTGAGAATGGAAGTCTGAGAGAAAACAAAACGGATGAGAGAACCACGCGACAGAAATCCGTCCCTTGCACCACGCCGGCAACCCACAGTCCTGGCACTTTGCAGTTATTGCAGCGGCCCATCGGTCGGGCACTGGTCGGAGCAAACGAACCAACGCACACCACCAGCCAGTGCACGTGGGGCGGGTCGGGGCTGGTCGCCGGTGGGAGTGGGAACGGCTCCATGGCTGCGGTGTCGAGAGCTGCCCTTTCACTGGCTGGCCTTGGACTGTTTCCACTCGTGTATGCGCCGCTTGAGGTCCTCGGCTGTTTGGCAAATGGAAGGGGTCAGATACGGCCACTTTTGCATCCCACATGCACTAAAGAGGGAATTTACTGTCTCATTTCACAGGTGCGGTGCAAACCCATTGAAGTCGGCCATCTATGCAAGTTCAGCAAACAACAAAGTAGCCGAAGAAAAAGTCGCCCTTTTGCTGTACCAGCGTGGCAAAGGCAGTGGTAACGCAGACGCGATGTGTTAGTGTGAAGAAACAGTACTAATATGGAGATCGGATGGCACAAATAGCTGGGTGCCATCTTCTGCGATGGCAATGCAAATGCAACCTTCTCGGAGCCTGTTGGAGCGTGAGATGCACTGGACAAAGCGTGCAGAAAATGGAACAATTGAAACGCAACAGTTCCAAGCAGGGTCCTGGCACCAGCTTGAGCCAACTACCTCAACCAGTTGCCACAAAGTGAACACATCTAAAGTAGCGGCTGCTTCTTTCCTTTGCTTTTCTGACGCTCTCTTTTATGCTCTTTCTCTGGTAAAGTCTGGAGCGCACTTGTTTTACGGAGCAGAGAGTCGCTGTAGGTCAGCTCACGAGTTTTTTTCCCACCGTTTAGATTAACACGGATGCACTCGAGGAAGACGTTTGGCTGGCACTGGTGTTCAATTCGTGAGGGGACAAGTTCTCTGTCAGTATTTGACTGCTAATCGCCTTATCGACTACCGTTTCCTTTTGGTGACCAAAAAGGATTAGGTGCCAGCCACATAACGCATTCTGCGTTAAAAAGGAATGCAGCCTCGTAAATGCTGTTTTGCAAAAAAAAAACAAAAAAACTATCGTATTTTCCAGATTATAGTCCACGACTATACATGTTTAAAACTTGAAATTTTAGGCTGCCCGGACTATCTACGCGTGCGGATTATACAGGAATTTTGTTTTTTGTACATCGCAGATTATGACAAGACGGATTTTGTGAATAAAAGAGTATGTTAATGATGATTTATGTATATTATAGGCTTCTTTGTGAGCTAAGAAAGCAGATATATGTCAAGGTGTGCTGCGTATGGCAAGATTTTCGTGTCGACTAAAGGGGTGTCCAAACAGGACATTACAAAACCCGCGACTCCGACAAATCGTGAAAATCGAAGCGGACGCTTCTATTTTTACGGTCTGTCGGAGTCGTGAAAATGTTTGCAGGAGTCGTGAAAATTTTTACGATCATGACTGCTCTCCTCTTCAGATTGACGTCACACGCCACCTGCGTCTGTCTCACCTCGTCAACGCCCTCGCGTACCGCCGTCACCTCGGCTCGAAGGCCAAGGAGGTCCGGCTTTGGGTGGATTTGGGACATTCCTGCGTCGAAGGGTGCGTTTCGCCCGCCTCGGATCTGCTTTCTTTGTCGAGATTCGCTTTCGTCGTGATGGCGTCCGATGCGGTTCCGTATTGTGAGCGGAAGCCTTGAGCAATTGACCGACAGCCAACAGAGCGTGTGAGTGGCTCTCCGGACCCACGTGATAAGCAGAGCAAGGCCGCCGTGGAGGAAGCGAGGGGGAGATTTGACGGAGGGAAGTTTCCCCCCGGAAAGAATTGACGGAGGGAAATTTCCCTCCGACGGCCGGAAGCGGATCGCGGCAGAGCGCGGCACGATTTGCCAGAGTCGCGGGTTTTGTAGTGTCCTGTTTGGACACCCCTTAAGCACCAGGTGCGGACTATGCACCAGGTGCGGACTATCTAAGCAGAAACTTTTGTTTTTTACGCGAAATTTGCCCCTGCGGACCATACACCGGGTGCGAACTATAGTTCGGAAAATACGGTACACCCTAAATGTAATGTTCCAAAAGTGATGAATGCTTCATGCCTTACGAATGTGAAGAGTTTGTTTCGAGCACTATTTTGCAGAAGAAAAAAATTTCTATGTGGTGCATTCAAAGGGAAGCTGAAGAGGAGAAGCTAGAGGTGAATTCTAGCATATTTTTGTCCCGTGAATTTGAATATCACAAGCATTTGGCCCGAACATATCAATAGACATGAGAAAAACCGAAAAACCAGCCGCTGGGTGTGATGTCATACCCAGAGGTTTCAATTGCCTTGCGCTTGCTGCTTGAAGGAGAATGTGTGTAGCATTCCTTGACTGCTTGGGTCAGGCTTGCGGAATGCGCGGAAATGTTGAACTCCTTATATAATACGTCAAAACTTTTTTCCTTCCGCTGAACATGCCTGGAAGAAGGGACTTCAGCGGCATTTTGAAAATGCCGCTGTGGCTACTTGGCACATCAATATGAAATATAATTCTGATATTCGTTATTGTGGAGGCCAGAATGAAGATGATTTAAGTGTTTTTCCAAAAACACGGAACCGCTTCAGTTTCCTTTTTAAAGGAACTTCAAAAATTGTATGACAATTGGCAAAATCCACTACTATTATAACTAAAAATGCTCGGTGCTATGCAAACTTTTTTACTCCCTTAGAGAATGGAGTAACTGCACGGCGCCACTAACATGTCATCAGTCAGCTTCAACAGGCACGCACGGGCCAAGCTGGCCTAGACCTAAAGACGCACGAGGTAAATAAAATTTCAAGTCTACTAGTTTATGTCTTTGCACTCCATTACTGCAACTCACAATTGCCGACCCAATTTCATGGGGCCAGCTCTTAACGCATTCGTGCATGCGACATGTAGCCTCAACGTTCATGTCGCACAGATGAAGCGACGGCGCATTCAGGCGACGTCATGAGCGCTTTGGAAGGTTCACAGTAAGATGGTCGTGCGAACACCGCAATGACATCACAATGTTTGCATGACATCATCAGCCTGACGATCTTCATGCGACATTAAGTCGCATGACTTCACCCGATACTGCGACACCACGCTGTCATGCAGTCACGTGATGTTTGGTCACACCATGACGTCATAGAGAATCCACAACTGCCATGAATTTAGACCGCCTTCGGGACATACCTAAAGACTGGCAGTTTTTTTTTTCACAACATCTACCCGCGCCCCATAATACAGCCCCCGCATCGACGGCTGACATCGCCGCAGGGCGCCGGGGCTCCTACCTGGCCTGAGCATGTCCTCTGTGAGCGGCTGCCGGTTGAAGGGGTCCGTGTTGGAGTTGAGCAGGTGGCGCACTATGGTACCCTTGTCCACCACGTTGCCACTGGGGAGCACCACGGGGTCCTCCATCAGGGTGTCCATCAGAGGGTCTGCACAGGTCGCCGGAACACACCCGCAAATCCGGTAATCAGACCAAAAAAGCAATATTGGGCCTCAAAAAAAAAAAAAAAAAAAAGAAACATGATGGGTTTGCCGAAAGCGTACCATGCAGTCCCGTAGACGGTACAAGCTTTCACATGCGTCTGCTTTCCCACATGGCGCGTGGAGGCCCATCCCTTCCATTTAAGGAATTGAGAAATTGGGAACAGCGCGCAAAAAAGACGAGGACAACAAGAGTAGAGCACAGGACAAGCGCTGACTATCAACTGAAGTTTTATTAAAAACGGCTCAAACGAGAAAACACCACAAAGCCAACCAACGCCGAAACAACCAATGACAAGTCGCTCACCATGCATCTATTGGGGAGGAGGACAGACCTTGACGCCCCAAGCGGTTAACTTTAGAGCTACACGGATGGGGACAACAAATACAATGACTCAGCGCTCGGCCGACATAACCGAACGCGGCGTCAGCACTCGGCTGGAGTTTGTGTCCTCCGGTGAGAGGGAGGAGGGGCTCTTTTGTTTCCGCTACGGCCTGCATGAACAATGCAGCATGCACGGTCCCAGCTCGGCACAAAAGCCGAAGTGGGTTAAGCTCGCATTCTCCGAGGATAGATCCGGCACTAAACGTAGCTTCGTCGATTGTTAGTATTTTTTTTTACATTAAGCAGTGCCCTGCGCTCTATTGTAGAAGATGACATGAACATGCCCATAAGGCCTGTCGGCATGTGCACAGGCCTTGTGTTGAGTAAACACCGAGCGTGGGGAAAACAAACGGGTCAGAGCGCCCCCTATAGTTCGATCTCCTGCCCAATAAAATCAATCTCTTTTTGTGAAAATAAACCGAAGGCTGGCTGACGCAGAGCCCCGAGCCAGCTCTTTCGATAGCATGCGCCTCCAGCACCTCTCTTTGCACTTTTGTTTGCCCCCTGCCAATGATTATGGTATCTTTGAAGACGGGGTGACACAAGCAGTCTCTGCAGTGTAGGTGTTGTATTGTCACTAGCTTATTATTTCTGCATTGTCACTCCCGCGCATGCTGACTTCGTTTCTTCCGTTCGCCGACACAAGAGATAGTCGGTACCCCGTCATTCCTCCTCCCCCCTTTCCCTCACCCTATCAGTATCCTCCTCCCACTCAGATAACTATATATTGCGGAACACAACCGAATAAAGACGTTGATACGCTGCCACCAGCTGTTCCTCGGTTTTCTTCACGCCGCACGCGGTGGCTTATGCGACGCAGCAGTGGCGACGAGTCCGGACCTCGCCCAAGCGGACAAGAAAGCCCCGGAGGCAGCCATACAGCTCAGCAGCGTCCCGAGGACAGCTATGGCCTACCTGCAACTACCGGAATTCGACGAAAACAAAGATAAATGGAAACCTTATCTCATTAAGGTCGAAGCCTACTTTGAGGCTAATACCGTCACAGACTCGGCTAAAAGAAGAGCGCTGCTAGTGGCGGCATTAAGCATGAAGACTGTACAAGTACTAGCAGGAAGAGTAGCCCCCCGCACGCCTAATTCTTTGACTTATGAACAGGTTGTACAAGCCCTGAATGAGTACTACGACCCCAAGCGGCACGAAATAACGGAAAGTTACAAGTTCTTCAACCGTTGTCAAATGGAAGGCGAGTCCGTCCATGCGTTTCTGGTTGAAATACGCCGGATAGCAGACAATTGCAACTTTGGCAGCATGTTGGACCGCATGGACAGAATTGTTTGCGGGGTGCGCTCAAGTACGTTACAAAAGCAGCTGCTTGCTAAAAGAGAACTAACACTAGAGGAAGCCGAAGCGTTAGCGGTTTCGGCGGAAACAGCCAAAAACGACTCCCAAAAAATGTCTTCGGAGCCAGCAGCACTACTGCAAGTGCAAGCGCGTCGTCATTCTTCAGCACAAGATAACGTAAAGCGCGATGCCCCGCGAGGGTGGGGCAGGTGCACAAAGCATGATGACAACAGCTGTGGCTGGGCCAAGTCTTGTTGTTATCGTTGTGGACGGCATGGTCACTTGGCAAAGAAATGTCGGAACGCTGCTGCCCGCAAAAGCCAAGTGACTAGGTTGGCTCACGCAACGACCTTGGCTGTTGCTGAAGCTACGTCAGACCCGAAAGGCAGTGATGAAACGCACATCTGGACTTTGGTTTCAGAAAGGAAGAACTTTCTCGAACCGCCGATTCGCCGCACGTCAACGTGGGGGGGAGTAAAACTACCAATGGAAGTCGACACCGGATCTCCTGTTTGTGTCATATCACGGCAAATTTTTGAGAAACATCGCAAGGTGTGGCCGTGCTTGAAGCCGTCACGTGTTAAGCTGTCATGCTACACAGGTCGTATTCCAGTGTTGGGTGAGCTTCAACTCCGTGTGTGCTACGAGGGCGTGGACGTCAACTGCTCCCTGACTGTACTGGACTGTTCTGGACCAAGCCTATGCGGCCGGGACCTCCTTGCTAAGCTGAAGGATGCCGGGATGTCTATTCTGCAGGACACGACTCTGCAGCGCCAGACCCAAAATGCAGCTCATCAGTCAACAACATCTTTAGTGACTACCAGGAAGTCTTCTCCAGGGATCTGGGCGTAATCAAGGGACCTCCAGCCAGCCTGCAACTGAAGGACGGAGTTTCCCCAAAGTTCTGTAAGGTGATTTCCCCGTGCCCATCCCTTATGCGCTTCGTGATAAGGTATTGTTCGAGCTTGACCGGCTAGTATCTCTTGGTGTGCTATCACCTGTAAAACACTCGGAATGGGCAACCCCCATAGTCCCAGTACTTAAGAAAGACGGCAACGTACGAATTTGTGGCAATTTCAAAGCCACATTGAACCCCGCCTGCGCAGTTGAACAATATCCGCTGCCTGTTATTGAGTATATTTTTGTACGCTTAAATGGTGGCAAAAGTTTCAGCACCTTGGACTTGCGAGACGCGTATAATCAGGTGCCATTGGATGAAGCCGCGCGGAAGCTTTGTGTTATCAACACTCACAGGGGCTTGTTTTATTATAATAGGCTTCCGTTTGGCATTGCCTCTGCTCCGGCAATCTTTAAAAAAAAAAATGGATGTGATACTTGCGGGCCTGCCGGGTGTGCAAGCCTATCTTGACGACGTGCTTGTATCCGAAAAAAAGGACGATAACGGAGAGCGACTGAAAAGCGTGCTGGAGCGATTTCGCGAACACGGTGTTAAACTGAGGTATGACAAGTGCACTTTTCGTCAACCGGCCGTCACTTATCTCGGTCATCGCATAGACAAGCAAGGCCTTCACCCGACTGAGAAAAACGTGGACGCAATCGCACAGGCACCTAGCCCGCGTAACATCAGTGAGCTCTTTTCGTTCCTGGGAACGTTAACGTTTTATGCTAAGTTTCTGCCAAGCATGTCAACTCTCCTCGCTCCGCTATATCGACTATTGGAGAAAAATTCACGATGCCAGTGGAAACAACCACAGGAAATCGCTTTCAACAGGGCCAAGCAATGCCTTAAAGGGGCACTGACACATCAAAATCGTAATTTATTTTATTATCCGAAACGATTGAAAATGATGCCGGGACATTACCCTCAAAATTCGAAACTTGGGAATTCAGTATTTGTGAATTAAAAATACAATTTCCAAATGCCGAATTTGAAGTTCCCGCGCAATCCGCGCCAGTGTAGTGAGTCAAATTTTGCGGTCTCCTGCGACTCGACTTTCTTTCGGACCTCTGCACCACGCTGTGAAGCAAAGCGCCGTTGCTACCGCGACCCGAAGAGAGGGGGAGGTGAGCAGGCGGGATAGAAGGGAGCCGGCGCGGGGAAAAACCGGTTTGTTCCCCGACTCGGCGATAAGCCTCTGCTCGAGTGCCGCCAAGTTTTCCGAGGGAGAACACAAATCCAGGAAGCGACATTACACCGAAATCTGATTTTTGGTATTTCAAAAAGAAAAGCCGTAGTGCGTTCGTCATTGCGTTAAAAAACATGTTTTACGATTGCCGTTATTAAATGTTATAGAAATGCCGCCTACAAAGCTTCTAAATTTCCTGATTTTTGACGTCACCGATCAGAAGAAGCAAGGAGGTGAGCGCGGGAAATACAAACAGCAAAAATAAAAAGGCGCGCGCGCTCGCGCAAGAAAATTTTTTTTTTGCGATGCGGTTTTTTTTTTGCGTGTCTATGACTACAATTTGCATCGTTTTAGACAATAAAAAAGAATATGACATTTGGGGTGTCAGTGCCCCTTTAAGGAAGCGAAGGTTCTGGTGCATTTCGACCCGGCTAAGGAGCTAAAGCTAGAATGCGACGCATCGCCGTATGGCGTGGGAGCAGTCCTGTTTCACACCTCAGGCAATGTTCACAAGCCCATCAGGTTCCGCTCTAGGACCTTAACACAAGCAGAACGGAACTATTCTCAGCTTGAGCGAGAGGCCCTCGCACTCGTGTTTGGTGTGACAAAGTTTCGGGATTATCTCCTTGGTCGAGGGTTTACCTTGGTTACCGACCACCAGCCACTCCTGGGCCTCCTGAGAGCTGACCGTCTGACTCCAGCAATGGCCGCCGCCCGGATTCAACGCTGGGTGCTTTACCTGGGTGGCTACCGTTACAAGCTGCACTACAGACGAGGAAAGCAGTTGCTGAACTCGGACGCCCTAAGCAGATTGCCGATGCTGTCAACGGAGCCGGAAGATGACGTTGAGCCCCCAGAGTATGTTCTTTCCTTGGAGACCTTGGATGACGGCGTGGTGACAACGCGCGAGCTAAAAGATCTTACGGCCGCCGATTCCACCTTAGCTCATGTCAAGCAGTACATATTGCGCGGCTGGCCTAAAAGCACGAAGGGACTGGAGCCTTCTTTGCTGCCATTTTATGATCGCAAGCTGGAGTTGTCGATGGCACACAAACTAGTATACTGGGGTAATCGAGCGATCATACCGGTAAAAGCCCAGTCGAGAATGCTGCAGCTACTGCATGAAACGCACCAAGGTTCCTTGGCTATGAAGTCTGTTGCCCGATCGTTGTTT